GCTTGCAGATGCCCAGCTCTCAGTGCTACCTCTGCTGCTCACAAGCACTGAATCCACCTTCAGGACCACTTTACAGGTAGCATTGACCTTACACTCAATCACAGCTCCAAAATCTCAGAGCTCATCCCCCACAGCAGCTGGGTGATAAAAGGCAAATCAGAGCGGACAGCAATGAAGTTTTTAGAGCAAGGAAGACTCAGAGACCACAAGTACAACAAGACCATGGAAATGGCAAGAATTTCTAGCCCCAAATGGTTTTTCCCCCTATTTAAGGACTGATGTGTCCTTGTTTTTTCCCAAACACATGTGGGAGAAGCAGAGCAGACTCTTTCCAGGACATCGCCGAGCTCTCTGGTTACAACTCCATGGCAGCTTTACTGGGCCAAGTGCCACCTGGAAGAACACAGTGCTTGAAAAACAAGGCTGTATTTCTCCAACAGCACATCAAGGCTCCAAACCCAACAGGAGCAAATCAGCAGGAGTGCTGTAACAGGAAGACCTTGCTGGATGCAGAAGGAACATCTCTTTTGCTCTGCTTGCTCCCCACAAAAGCCTATTCCCCATTTTATGGACTCACTGATATATATTCACAGGGAGGGCAGGAGGAAGACATTTCTTAACCCGGTCCTTTTGCAGTAACAGATGTCTTTGACTCACAGCTCGTGGACTCAAGTCCTGGCAGGTTTATACTGTGATGACATTTGAAGTCCCCTTGGGAAGGAAATGCTGGGTGTAGCAATGGACAAAGCATCCCACCTAGATGTTCTCCACAACAGCACACGGGTCTTTCTCTGCCATCAGTCTGTCTCTAAAAGACCTTCCAGTGCTCTGCCACTCTCTGGGCAGGAAAGCCTCTTGCCCAGACAGCCCTGCACTGAAACAAGCTGGACCTGGGCTGCTTCGGCAACAGCTGCCACAGATAAAAGCCACATTCACTTGCAAATTAAAATGTTTAAGATCTAGCCAAGAGGAAAGCACAGCTAGAGGAAAATGCATCTGCCAAATCTCCTTGTTCAACTAGTCATGTCAGAGATGATTCCCGTTTCGGGACTGCTGGTGCCATTTCTCTGTTCCTCTCTGTCCCACTCAAGACCTTTAGGCTACACTTGTCCCCTGAGCTGCACAACAGGCAAGCTCAGCTCATCGCCTAACTGTTATTTTCAACAAAACTGGAATACTCTGATTTTGATGAAGAGTGATCAACAGGGAACAGATCCACCTTACTGACTCTCTTTAAAAAGCAAATGCTCTTCTGCAAACAGGGCCTTGGAGGACAGCTGAGCTGGGCCAAGAGACTTAAAACTTTGGAGAGAAGGATGTCCTGGCCATCCAGAAGCTGACGCAGCAATCCATTGCCTAAGTTCTTGTTTTGGGAGGAAGGTGTTAGCATTTTTTTCCCCCAGAAATATGCATGTACAACCACAAAGGAAAAGCCATAGCCCAGATCAGCCACTGGGCTGGTGCAGAGTTTGTCAGCTAAACTCCTGATGCAGCAGGGCTGGTATGAGATTGATAGTTACTAGCAGGACCTCTGTCTCCCAGATCTGCTGGGACCACTATCCCCAGCTGACCTCCAGGAAGTTTAGATGGCACAGACAACCACAGAGACCGCCTGCTATTCCAGCCCAGCAATCATAGATTCATTGCCTGACCTCCTTCTCTATGTCTTTATATCATATTTCTCACTGTAGAGATGTGACTCAACGTGTTGGCATAAGAAAACACACCAGGAGAATATTCTTATGCCTCTCCTCTTTATCCTACCCATCCTGCTATGTGTTTAATTGAAATAGCAGAAAGTGAGGAACCTTTGGCGGCTGCAGAAAGGCACGCGGAGACTTTTTGTCCCTCCTCAGAACAGAAAAGCAACCTTTGTGTAGATACTTTTCACAGGGAGAACCTCAAAGGTAGCACAGGAAACGTCTCACACCTAACTTCACAGCTTCCACATCCCTCTGGCAGGAGGAGATCTGCTCTCCTAGGATTGGGATGCTGTCACCCCTTAGGAGATGCACCAGAGAAGAGCTTCACCAGCAGCACAGTGGGCTGTGGCCTCCCTTCTGCCCACGCTGAAGAGCAGCTAACACTTTGGGGAAGCCATCCAAGTCCAGCTGCAGGTGTACAAGCTGTGAATTCCCAAAGGCAGTGTTTTTCCATGAGTGGAGCTTGCCTAATTTTCCAGCCCAGACACAGGCTCTTGTACAGGGGGTAATCTCTGCTGTCAACAGATCTGCTCCCACTGGTTCCTGTCATACAGCATGCACTCCTATGGGTCCACAGACTACACTTCAAGACTCTGAATTTACACATTGCCAAAGTTCAACACAGCCCGGAGACAGAAAAACTGAAGTCTGGTGACATTGCCCCCCTCACACAGCCCCCTGAATATCAGGCTAGCCCAGAGGTCTGAGGCTGTGAGGGGAGGAATATCAGGAGATGGCAAAGATTTCCAAAAGAGGCTCTTACCCCAGATATGTTGGTTCAGCTCTCTTTATTCTGTGATGTCCAAGGGGAGAGTGGGGCAAATAAGAATGAACAGGAAATGTCAGGGGTCTATACAGACTTTGGACAGGGTGGGCTTCCCTGGCTCTCCGCCAGCCCCGTTGGGGCAGGAAGGAGGGGTCCAGGGTTATCTGATCAGAGTCACAGGGTCCTGGGGAAGGGGGAATAGAGTGCCCATGAGCTCACTGTAACAGTCTGGAGAGAAACTAAGGTACTGCCACCTCTCTGCAAGGGACAGCAGCAGAGCCCTATGGATTTCTCTGAGGGGCTCCAGAGGGACGAGGCTAGGGATGGACTTGTGTGCAAGCAGGGGCTTGCAAGGCAAGAGGATCAGAAGTTTGCAGACAGACAGGCAAAGACTCCAACGTGGAAATGCTACCATCTCTGTGAAACAGTCTCTGGACTCTCCTGAGCATACCCCTCTACCCTTTCCTGTTTTAACAGAGCTGGTTTAAACCCCTTTCTATTTAGCCAAGGCAGGAGAGAACCAAAGCCTTCTAAGAGCTGGAAACATTACCTGGCACCTGAAGGTACATCTGTGCTGTGAGTACCTACAGGGGGGCGATGCTCACCAGCCCACAGCAGGGAATGGAGAGCAGAGTCACGGTCCCCATGGCCAGCAGATCAGTGGAGCCCTTATGGCAGCTCCTGATGGAGCCCAAGTGCTCAATTTGCTACTGTATGGGCCCAAAGTGGAGAAAACACGATTACTGAGAAATAATGACAAGTGTCAGGAGCCACTCAGCCTCCTGGCTCAGCTGGAGGAGACATCTGGCATGAAAGGGCCCAAGTGGTGCAGGGGCAGTAGCTGACTTTTATAAGTTTCTTTATAAGCACCACTCCATCTATTTTTTTTTTCTGTGTTTTTTTTCTAGGTCCCATTTATTCACTCACGGTAGGGCTTGTCCGTAAGTCCCGTGTGTGTGTAGATACAAACATTACTTATCTCCCCTCCATATTTCAGCCCTATTCATCAGGCATTTGTAAATGGCATTTTATGAGTGCTGAGTTTTTAACAAGGCAGGCACGCTGCTCCAGAGCGAACAAAGGGGCCCCTATTGGAAACTTTAAAGATGTTTAAACAAAGACTTCTCTTGAAAACCTTTAACCCCTAATGCCAACCTCAAGGGAAACGCTATGTTATGAGCAATGGGAGCACAAACATCTTCTGTGACCACAGATTGCTACAACGGGCTGCCTTGTTGGCCACAGCTCCTCTGTTTGCTACAGCTGCCAACCAGGGCAGCTCCCGAGCCCATCTTGTACTGAGCACATACGGTTTCTTTAATTCTTCAACAACAAACAAAAGTTACAACTTCCACAAGAATCAACAACAGCTTTTTCCCATTGGATGCAGCAATACCCAGCCTGCTTCGATAAAAAGTGTAATTTTACTGCAAAACACCAAGATCGGCCCTGTGGTTTCCAGAGGGAAATTTGCATTTTGGATGAGGCTGAATTTATCCATATCCTGGTGGCAAATATCAGGGCTGAGATCTGAGAGATTTCCCCACACACGGCTTTTTGCTGCTATCAGCAGCAATCTAATGAATTCCTGCAGCGATCGCAAGAATCTACTTGTGAAATTCTGCCCATGAAATGCAATTTCTACTTGTTATTGAGAACCCGCACACTCGCTGCCTGGGATTAATTGCTCCTGTCCTTGAAAAAATAAAAATCTTTACTATCAAGAGATGATACAGAGGGTCCCACAGGGAGGGGTCCCAAAGGGAGAACTTCATCATAACTTTATAAATAATGTGGGTTTAAGTGAAGCAAAAATCCAGTGTGATTAAGCAAAAGAGGTAAATCCCTGTGCCTTGTCTCAGAGTTGAGGCTGAGAACAGGTCCCTCTCATGGACCCTTCTCCCCTCAGTCCCACTGCACACATGGTGGCTTCCACTGACACGGGACAGTCCCATTTCCCTGCCAGCCTCCTCAGCCACACCAGTTCCCACTCTGCAGCCTGCCTCCTGAGTGGATTCAGCAGCTCTCTGCTCCACAGCAAAGGCTGTCCCTGCAGAATGAGGGGCAAAACCCCAGCAGAGCACACACCACCACACGGCGTGTCTGCTCAGCTCCGCTTTGCTCACTGAATGCGTGTCCGCACAAATGCGGCGAGTGCAGAATAATCTGGTTTTCCAAACAACTTTTCCCATGCAATTGCTTGGAACAGGAGTGCCCAAAGCTAATTTTATCCTGTGAAACAGTTGGAATGATAAGCTGAAGGTGGGTGATTGCTTGTGCAAACGAGTATGCACAGACCCAATTTTCCAGTCGTGCAGAAACGGTGCATAACAAAGTTAGGGTACACTTCTGAGCTTATCTTTCTGCAGGACCTCGATCCCCTGCTGCTCAGTACGCTTTGCCCAGGTGTACCAGACCTTATTATTCTCTGCTAAGAGATCCTCGGTTGTATAAGCAGGGACCTGCCTGACAGGTAGGCAAAAGGTGAGCAGGGCAGGCAGCCTGAGCGATCCAGACAGCGATGAGTCCACATGGCTCACACATCACCGAGCGGTCCCATGCCCCGGCTGCCCCACCGAACGCACCCTGGCACCGCTGCGGGGACCAAGCCCGTGCAGCCGGGGGTCGGGAAGGCTCCAGCCCACAGATGGGAGGAAAAATCCTTTGGGGCGAAGGTTCTGCTCTTTCCCTCCTCCCGGCTTTGCTTTCTGCTCCTGACGCCCAGGATCGCCGCTCCCCTTCCTGCCAGCCCCGCTCCAGGGAAAAGCCCCCTCGGAGGCTGCCAAAACCCGCGGCAGCGCTCGGCGCTGCGCACAGCCCCGCCGCGCCGGGCCGGGATCGGGACCGGGATCAGTATCGGGATTGTGATCGGGACCGGGATCAGGACCGGGACGGGGATCGGGACCGGGACCGGACTCACCGCACCCTCCTCTCCTCTGCTCTCGTCCCGCAGGGGCGGCGCTGCCCGCGGAGCCCCTCACTCAGCCGTGCCGGCCGCGGAGCCGCTCCCCGCCGCGCTGCTGGCTCAGGTACGCGGTGCGGGCGGTGCGGGGCGGCGGCGGGGCCCCGCGGCTTTAACGGGGCGGGGGAGCGGGGGGGCGGCGGGGCGGGCACGGCCCGGCCCCGGGGCAGCGCTGGCAGGGGGTTCGGGCGGCCGTTGCGGCGGGGGGCTCGGGGCGCCCGCCCCGCCGGGCGCGGCCCCGCGGGAGCTGCGCGCAGGTGGAGCCGGCACCGGAGGGTGCGCGGCCCGGGGGCTCACCGGCGTGGAGGGCCCTGCTGCTTTATGGTTTTGGTTTTCTTTTTTCTTTATTTTTCTCTATTTTTCCTTTTATATCCCTTTATTTCTCTTTTAATTTTTTTCTTTATTTTCTCTATTTTATTGTTCTTTTTTATGTTTTTGATATTTTACGTTCTCTTATCTATTTTTTTCTCCTTTTGCTTTTTTTCCCTTTGTTTTATATTTTTATTACCTTCTTTTTAAAAAATATTTCTTCTACCCTTTTGTTGTCTCTTCCTCTGCTGGGGGAATGCACCTGGGAACCCCATAAACTCAAAAGTTCATGGAAAAGGAGAGTCTAAACTTAATATCCATTTGACCTGCAATGTCCTGGAAGTTTAGGAACATCAGCAGGTAGTGGCTGCAATGTGGGGAGGTGAGTTAGAACCAGGAGACTGCAGACCAGAGCTTGGAGGGCAGCAGAGCCTCAGGTTAAGCTTCCATCAAGAAAGTCAACTGATGTGCATTGGAGATCAACAGCAGAGGCTTCTTAGAAACCCACAAATAGACCTTCCAGTCCTCCACCTCTCTCAGCACTTAGATCAATCTGGTGGTGGCAGGAACCACCTTTAGTGCTTTATAGGACTGTGTTGTGGCACTTTAACAGAACTTCCCTTCCTCCTTGCACACGAGGAACAGAGAAAGGAGACTCCAGGAAATCACCCCCACTGTCTGAATTTTCTAGCAGACTTGCCAATACTGCATTATCAAACTTGAGCATTTTGGGGGTGCTGGTGCTGCTGGGGTGCCCACCCCAGCTGGCTCTTGCTCCCTGCAGAGCTCACTGCCACTGGCTTTTTGTGCTTCCTGCTCTCGGCCGCTGTTTGCTCTTGGTGTGGTCGATAAATCCCCCAGGCCTAGAAAAGGCTGAATTTCACTTGTGTGTGCAGTGAGGAAAATACAGGATTTATAAATACCCATGCATATACAAGGGCTGTGGGTTGGGTTGGTCTGGATTAAAGGAGGTATTGAAAAATGAGGGAAGCCAGAAACTGCAGGCTTCTCATTTCTGTGATTTCTAATGGCTTTTCCTTTTGCATAAACATTGCATTGACTCCATACCCAAGAGCACTGCAGGCATTTTCTTCCCTGATCTGCACAAAATATAACCTAGACCTCTAAAATGGATATTTTTTATTAGGATGTTTGGTTTCCCCAAACTGAGGGAAGAACAGTTGCCCTCTGTGGCAGCAAGTCCCCAGCAAGCTTCAGGGCAGCTGTGTCCTGAGCAAACCACAGCTCCTTTTCTGGGGGGAAAAGCAGCAAGTTAATTTTCTGCATTTTAATTCAGTGCTACCTGCACTTGGGGACACTGTTACTGTGAGTTACAGTTGTTGTATAAAGAGGTGATTTGAAGACCCAGTTTTTAAACAATAGCTGCCAGGATTGTGTTTTGGTCTCCAGAGTTGGGTACTTTCATTCCCAGGGGACCAAATATATCAGATGCCTTCCTGAGCTGGTGGAGCTCACTGAACTGAAAAGGAGCAGGGCAGAGGGCAGTTTGCTTCTCCCAGTGCCTGTAAAGCACTTTTTCTTCTGCTGCGGTTGCCCAAGGGTGTGCACACTGAAGGTGATGTGTGGAGCAGGGTATGTCCCACACAGGGAGCAGAGTTCCCCAGCTGGAGGCAGGACAAAGCACTGAGTGATGCCCCTAAACACTTGCTGCTGGCAGGGAGAGGGATAATTTTCAGCTGTGGAGTTAAACATCAGTTCTCCTAAAATCAGCAAAGGGACTGTGGGGTCCAACCTTAGCAAAGCCTCTCGGCGCCTGCCTGGGCTCCCTGTGTGCCCACATGAAACAGCCCTTTGCAAGGTGGTCCAGCTGTGTGTCTCCTGTGGAAAGCACACAGAGACTCCTCCTTTTCTGCTTCATTTCCCATGGGAGAGGGCACAGCAACCCAGCCAGGGCTTGCAAATCCCCCTGAGGTACCCTGGGTCTCTCCCGCCTCAAGCAGCAGGGCAGAGCCACCCTAGAGATGTACCACAAACGCACTCACCCTCTCCTGAGGCACATCCTGACCCAAAGCAAAGGGAAAGCCTTGGTAAGCAGTGCCAGGCTGAGCAGGGAAGGGGAAAGGCTTACAGAAACCAGTGTAGGAGAAAGGTGGTGGATCCCCCCTTGCCCCCCCACCTTTTACTACATAATGCCCAACTGTGTGGAGAGCAGCTGAGCCCCAGCCAAGACTCAGGCTCTGAAAAGGCAGCTTTTAGTGAGAGCTGTAAGAGCCCAGCCCGTGTGGTGCTGCTAACATGACACTGAACTAACACTGCACTACAACCTAAGCATTTTAATAATTTAATATAATAAATGTCAGAAGGAGTGAATAATTCTCTGTAACCCTGAGGAGGCTGTAGGTGCCAGAAGGAGCCAAGTGGGCATACTGGGCTGCTTTAGCAATAGCCCTTTGACTCTCTGAAGATAAATTTATACCGCATGATGGATGCTGGGTGGTCGCCTCTGTGGGTAGAATGGCAAGCACTGTTCAGAAGTGTGTCACTGACACAATTTAGCCCCCAAATTTGGAAGGCAAGGGCTGCAGAGAATGGACAAAGAAAAGAAAGCCAAGTTTCTAGGCAGTTGTTCTTCCAGCTGGACATCAAATCTGAAGAGCTCCTGTCTGTTTGCCTGCCTTTGGCATGCACATTCCCCCTTCAAGCAGTAGGTAGCACATGGGTAGCTGTTCCAGAAGGCTCTTTAATAAGCTCCAGGCAGTGACCCACGTGCCTCTGGAATTATGTATGGGTGGCAGGGAGCAGTGATACGTGCACAAGCCTGGCCCTGCCCTGAGCCAGTGCTGTGGGAGGCTCTGCAGAGCAGGCATTGCTGCTGCCCACGCTGTCAGCACACGTCTTAATCCACAGGTTTTGGCAATTTGCTCCTGAACACTCCCTGCCCTCCATGCCAGGCTGCTCCATACTTTGCCAAGGGGTTAATGGCAGGGGAGCCCCACAGGGAGACCCCAAGCTCTAGGATGGGGAGTGGTGACAGCTTTGGTGACACTAGCAGGGATGGAGCATGTGACTTTGCAGCTGAGACACAAAGACCCAAAGCTATACTCCTAATTTTACACAGCACACTGAATGATGAGACTCACCAGGAAAAAATTCACACACCCAGCCTGGTTCTTCCCTGCTGTGTGCCTGTTGTCTCTGACAAACTGAGGGTGAAATGCTACTGAATGGAGCCAGCAAGGTTCAGTACTCATTTAACAGTATGTTGCATTTGTGTAAAAGGGTATCCAGGGTCAGGCAAATTTCCTTGATACATTTCCACATTTATCCCAATCATAATTAGTTGTTGTGAAAACAAAAAAAAAAAAAAAAAAAAAAAAAAAAAAAAAAAAAAAAAAAAAAAAAAAAAAAAAAAAAAAAAAAAAAAAAAAAAAAAAAAAAAAAAAGGCAAAACCCAAAACAAACCCACATTTTTGCTGAGAGATTCCCAAATAGTGCTTTTATATGAAGGGAAAAATAGCAAAGGCGGATCAAAGCTGAAATCACACCATTGCTTGGCAGCCGAGGAGTGAAACAGCTGCAGATTGCCATTATGGAAAAAGATTAAATAACTTTCTTATGGGATCACTTTGGCTGTTGAAAGATATAAATTGGCTAGAAAGTGGAGTGAAACCTCAGCAATACTAGTGACCCACCCTGAAGCAGCCACGGTGGGATGCTGGTTGATAAAAATCTGCTTCAGTGTGCTGGAGCAGGAGTCTCCCAGCACCTCGATGGAGAGAACAGGCACAGCCCTGGCCAAGGAGCTCCTCCTGCTTTGCCATGAGTGCTGTGGGGTGAGCCAGGGCTAAGCCCAGAGCCCTGTGCTGGCAGCAGCTCTGGGGCTGCCACAAGAGCAGAGCCTGGTGGCAGCCTGTGCTCTGCAGTCAGGAATGGCCATAAAACATTCATTTTCCAGGCACAGAGTAGCAGTTAATGCTGTGGGTGGCACTGACACTGGCCCTGGCTGTAAATCTGATTCTGGCAGGGCTCTGTTGATTTATGTTTACTGGTGATCCAGCTAACACATCTAGGATAAGGAACTGGGAACAAGGAGGGCAGGAGATTGTATTGCCCCTCTGTGACCAACAGAGCACGTCTGTGCAGTGCAAAGTGTCAGGTCCCCATGGCACTGCTCAGAGAACACACGGGGTATGTGTTTGCTTGTATGGGACAAGTGTTTTTCTTCCTCATACAACAGCAGAGCATCAGCTCCATCCAAGGGTGGGAAAGCTGGCACTGAAGTGATATGTGTTTAAAGTGAATTGCAACATGGGTGCTAAAAGCTGTAAGGGGCACAGCCTTTTTAAAGTGTTGCACTGGGAAGAGCAGAGTTGGCAGGCAAGCTCTTCTAGCAGGTCGCTTGGGATGACTGCTTGTAGATTCTCTCCCTGGGAGCTTGCTCTGGCCTCTGAGCCCAGAGGAGCTCACCACAAGGAGCCTGTCTTGGGGTGATGGCAGACTTACCTCTCTTGACACCTCTGATCATTTATGCTCTCAACTTTTCTCAATTTCTAGCCCACTTAAGAGGAAGAGAGACTGTGTTTAAAGGGAATGCTCCCCTGCAGATCTCTTACAAGTTCCTCCTTGGGTGGCCATGGCTGATGCCCCTAGTGTCACCCCTTTTCCTCCAAGTCATCCCCTAGAGCTGCCCTCAGTCCCCAGATGCTCTCTCACAGTTACTCTGTGTTGTGTTTTCCACTGTGGCTGAGGCTTCACAGCCTTCTCTGGCCACTGCTTACACCTGTCTCAGATAGGAGAGTCATTAACCAGGCTGGGACTTTCTACAGGAGAATGTTCCTGGTGGCCACATTGACAGATGTGCCAAGGAGGGACTCCTACACAGGCATCTCCTCTTCCTTCTCCTCTGGTTTCATCTTATCCAGTCAAATATCCCAAACTCAGGGAATGCTCCTGTCCCAGACTCAGGGGGTTTAGGGCCTGTCAGCAGGGCAGGAGCTGGTGTTGTCAGAGAGTGGTCTCAGCTCCTCTGAAGGCTCCACAGCTGAGATTCCAGAGCTCTCCCCCCTTGCACTCCCCAGTCCTTGCACACGTGTCCCAGGTGGCAGAGCAGGGCATCTCAGACCCACCTCATCTCTCTCCAGCTGGTTAACACCCAACCTACCGAGTTAGCAGAGTTAAATGCCAGGTGCCTGGGAACTCATTCTAGTTAATAGAGCAGAAACAATCAGCAGAACCACCTACTCCCTAGGTCTGAAAGAAAAATGCAGCTATTTTCACCCAACACCCCTTGCAGAAGGCAACGAGTTGCTCCACCTCGCATGACAGCTCCTCAGCTGCACTCACAGCTCAGCAGCATCACGTCCCAGCTCACACAAAAACCATACAGCAGCAAGCACATCAGGCTGAAAAAGAAATTCATAATCAGTTAGAGCTCAGCCACTATTGCATGGGGCTGGAAGTCTTAGGGTGGCAAACTGATGAAGTTATTCCATTCTCCAAACTTTCTGGTTTTCATTGCCAGCCCCATTCTTAGAGCAGCTGAGCTGCAGTTCTTTCTGATGGAAAAGCCTTTCCACCTTCCCCACCCCATCAGGCTGGGCATGGAGGGAGCTCCTTGCCCCTGCAGGGCTGGGCAGAGCTGGCTCTGGTGCCACAGTGCCAGGGAAATTGTGTCTTGTAGAGCCAACCCGTACCAAGGCAGCCTGCTCCAGGATGGCGTCAGGAGGTACCTGCAGCTGCCAGCAGACCAGACAGTGCTGATCCTGCACGCCAAAGTCGCACAGAAATCCTACGGCAACGAGAAAAGGTGGGAGATTGTCAGCACAACGGGCCAGGACTGGGCAATTAGTGACATTGTCTCCATGTGGCTGATTATTATTTATTAAGAAACCCACACTTTTATACCCTAGTTCTCTACAGGTTGATCTAATTGGTCCTCCAATCCAAACACCATCACCATTGGTCAATTAAGAAACCACCCTTTGGTAAAAAAATCTCCATAACACATTCCGCATGTTCACAATACCAGGTGCAGCAAGTTGAGATAAGAATTGTTTCTCATTCTTTTCTCTGATCTTCTCACAAACTTCCCAGAAAAATGCCTGGAAAGTTGTGTGTTTCTTTCTGTGGCCAGAGAGCTGCTGCCACAAGAGATAGCCCCAGCTTCCCTGATAGCCACTTCTAAACCCAACTACCTAAAGCTTGATTTCAGCCTTGCTGGATTTCACAGATCTAAGCTGGTGAAGCAAATTATCCCCTCTGCATTCACTCATGACATCTTTACATCCAAAGCCATCATTTAGTCTCCATGAACTGAATAACACAAGAAAGGTATTAGCTCCAGCCTGCATCCATCCCAGCAAAATATTCTCAGTGGTAGGTTCTTGCCATGAAGTGGTAAAGAAAGACAAAGTAAAAGAATTCAAGATTCTATTCAAATCTCATCCCCCAAGAAGGAAAGGCTAGAGTTTTAACTGCCCTGTAACTCTTGTATTAAAATCTGCATGGCCACAGCAAGGACTGGGGCGTTTTCATCAATTCCAGTGGTCTACAAAAAGCTGCTATTTTTGAAAATCCTTCCCACACTGCAAAAACACCTTGAGGTTCTGGCTTGAATCTCCAAAATTGCCCCTCCCTGGCAGTGACATCAGACTGCGGCACTGCAATGTAATTAATCCTTCATTAATCCTTGGGATATAAATACTGCTCTGTTATTACCGAGTATGGAATAGCTATGAGGTGACGAGCTCAGCCTCCAAGGTGTAACCAGCCAGCCCCCAGCGACCCCAGGAGACAGCTCTGGGATGGGCTGGCTGTGCCTACACAGTTCTCACCACATCCAGTCTCCTGCCAGGAGCTGCTGGTCCACAGGTAAAGAAGTTATTTCAGGGCTGGATCTTCCAGCCAGGAGGGAGCCCTCTCATCACAGCCTCTTTCCTCTGCTTCTTACCCCACACAAGGGATGAGCATGAAAATCAGATGCCAGGTCTGAAAAGGGAGAGAAAAACCTGCACAGAGCTCCCAGGTTAAAGTTTGGAGGTGCTGCTGCCGTTTTCCTTAATAATAGGAGTCAGGGGCCTACACTGTGGCTGAGTTGTTTAAATAAACTTGTACCTCCAGGGCTCCAAAATATCCAACCCCCTGCACTGGTGTTTTCTCTGCTAGTGCTTTACCCAGTATCAATAGAGGATGAATTTACACCATTCACACAAGTGCAAAGACAGTGGAAACCCAAATAAAACACAGGAAAATGGGCTTCCAAACTCCTGGCTATAGATTTATTTGCACTGGGCTCCAGAACTGATTGTGAATGCAAAGTCTGTTCCCAGCCTGCTGAAACTCCCATGTGGCAGTCAGGCAGAGTCAGGGGCTGATGGCTCCCTGTCTTTGGGGGAGCTGGAGGTGGGGGTGCCAGGGTCCCTGTCCTCCCATCCCAGGCCCATCCTGGCACTGGTGGGATCATGGCCACCAGTGGCACCACCAGATGTGGCAGCTGCTGAGGCTGGAACCAGGCCCTGGAGGAGGTGCAGGGCAGAGGGTCCCCAGCCCCTTGCTAAGCTCCTGGGGTGCAGGGTTACCCCCAGTGCTGGCGATCTCCAGTGAAGGTCTCTGCTCTCAGCACAGCCATCCGGCCACTCCCAAGCACCTTTTCAGGGTGCTCAAGGACAGTGAGAAAATGCCCTCTTGTCTCTGCAGGTTTTTCTGTCCCCCACCTTGTGTTTACCTGAGCGGGCCGGGATGGAAGTTAAAGCAGGAGCAGATAAAAGGTGAGCAGAGCCCTGGACCTCTCCTCCCTCCCTTCCTGCACCAAGGAGAGCTGCCCTCTGCCTCTGCAAAGGGGACAGGGAGTCTGTTTATGTTGATTTTGGCTCCCCAAACTCCTTTCCTGCTCAAGCCTAAGCCCCCTGAAATCCAGACTCAGGGAGGGCTGGGGCTTGGTCACGTTCTGCTCCTGGAGAAGCTGAGCCTGTGCAGGGTGCTGGAAGGTGCTTCTGCTTGTCTCTTCCAGCCAGGGACCTGGGAGAGGCTGGATTTCGGGTGTGTGGGTACATGGGGCTGGACAGCATGGGCAGCAGCCTGATGGAGACCCAGAAGCTGAGCTTTGAGGAGCAGCCAGATGCAAAGGTAAAGCCTGTGGCTCGCTGGGGCTGTGGGAATCTCCCTCATGCAGGGCCTGGGCTGTCACCAGAACACCCCACACCCTGGGATGTCACACCCTCCCCATCCTCAGGATGTTACGGCTCTTTCTTCCAAGCCATAACTCCCCACTCTCACTCTGCCAGCCTGTTGTGGCATGTGAAGCAATGCAGGCAGCCCAAAGGTCCCTGTCTTTCTCTGGAACCATCTTTTCAGGCCGACAGCCTGTCAAAATCTGCACAGCTCCCCCAGCCCTGGTTCTTTCTCCTGATGTGCAGCTCTGCTGCTTGTTACAAAATGAAAGCCTGGTCCTTCACTTGCAGCTGAACAGCTTAAAAAATGCCCCAGCTGATCCCAAAGTTCAAATCCTTCAGTAGAGCTCTGGCATCTTTTGATTGGAGGGGTAAAAAGGGAGAAAAATCGTTTTCTGGGGTCCCTGAAGAGCACAGAGTCTGAGGCAGGCCAGGAACCTCATAGAAAGAGCCTTTGTCCACAGTGCTTGCCTTGCTGCTAAAGCACAGCATATCGGCCAGGATGAGGGAAACCATAAACCCAGGGTGATTTCTCATGTTATGTGGGATAAATCACACATGAACATTCATTTCCATAAGGAATACTCTGCCCCCAGTGTAAATAAAGCCTCTGCCGATCCCCAGGTCTTCTTTCCACCTGTAATAACATCTCTGGTTGTTTCTCCCTTTAAATGAACCCGGGGCTCATTGAAAGGGCACTATTATGTCCTGGTGGGGTGGTGAGGAGGGAGAGGAGGGCTGGTGGGGCTGGGCTGGAGCTGCTGGCAGCCCCTCCGTGCCCCTGGCAGGGGTTCAGCTGTGCCAAGGCTCTGTACATCTCGGACACGGACAAGCGCAAGCATTTCCGCCTGGTTCTGAAGCTCTTCTTCAGCAACGGGCAGGAGATCGGCACCTTCCACAGCAAACTCATCAAGGTCATCTCCAAGCCCTCGCAGAAGAAGCAGTCCCTGAAGAACACGGACCGTGAGTGGCTCTGTGGGGAGGGAGGTGGGTGCCAGCCCAGCATGGGATGCTCTCTGCTCACAGCTTGGCTCTGGAGTGGTCCAGCCTGGACCCAAAGCCCATGGGAACTCCCAAAAGAGGATGTGTCTCACACAGGGATGTCTCATTTCCAAATGGTTCACCCAGCCCTGATGCCAGTGTGGTTCCCACACCATGGACCTCACCTGCACTCACACAGAAGGGAAGGCTGTGGGGAGGGTGTTGGCTGCTGGGTACCCCAGGAACCAGGGCTTGTCCTCTCTAGGCTTGACAGAGCCATATTCAGTTCTGGCGAGCATTAACCCAGCCACCTCTGCCCACAGTCTGCATTTCCTCAGGCTCCAAAGTGTCCCTGTTCAACCGCCTGCGCTCCCAGACCGTCAGCACCCGGTACCTGTCTGTGGAGGAAGGAGCCTTCACCGCCAGCGCCAGGCAGTGGGCAGCCTTCACCCTCCACCTGGGTAAGAAACCTCGGGTGACACTGATGCCACCATGGCCAGGGCTGCCTGCTTCCAGCCCTGGCTCTGCCATCCTGCGAAGGCAGTTCTTGGGGGCAAAAGGCACGGGAATTAGCTTGGGATGCAGGAATCTGGCTCAGTTGCACCTCTGGCCAGCATTCCTGGTGTGCCTCTGGACGTTTCCCGCTGGTTTTGAGGGCACAGGGGCTGTGGCCAGGTCTGTACTGGTCTGGAGGTTTACAAATCCAAGCAAAGGATTGCCTGGAAGAGGCCAGAGCCCAACTGTATTCCTGCCCACATTGCTTCCCTGAAAAGTACTGCATCCCCATCCTGCTCTCCCGGGCCAGGCTGCCAGGGAATGGTGGTGTCTCCAAGCAGTGAGCACGAGCAGATAAAGCAGTAAGAAAGCAGTGGGAGCAGAAGCTGTGCCCAGCAGGGCTGAGCAGCCCCCCGGGCGGTGACTCTGCCTCTCTGCTTCCCGGCCAGCCGAGGAGCGCTGCCCCCGGAGCGAGTTCCCCCTGCGGGAAGGGTACATCCGCTACGGCTCCGTGGTCCAGCTGGTCTGCACGGCCACCGGCGTCACCCTGCCGCCCCTGGTAAGCTCCGGCCCTGCGGGGGTCCTGGGAATCCTTAAAATCAGAGGGTTTGGGGCAAGTTGCGAAAGGCAAGCCCCAGAGACAGCAGAACTGCCATTAGAGCTAAGCAGTAGCCATAAGGTTTGTCAGCAGAAAAGTTATACAAGAAGTAGAAAGTAAGGACAAATAGAACAATGGTCAGTGTATAAATGCTTGGCTAGAATAACTCCCTAAGCTACAGAAAAGTATATCTAGTGAGATATTAAAAAGTTCTAAGCTTAATAACGGAGCTCTGTGCATTGTATCTTAAGGCTTACAAGCAGGTATTGTATCCAAAATAAGCAAGCATTGTTTTAACCAAAGGTACGTGTGCTTATAGTGGTTGGATAGAACTACTGTCAGTGCTGGCAGTATGCTTTTGCTTTGTGTGATTAGTCAAAAAGTTTTTAAAGTGAGTTGTAACATTAAGCTCTTTGTCTGCTGCCTGGGATGTGAGCTGCTGGCATCTTCCCATTGTCATAACCATGTAATGAGACTGATGCTGGAAAATAAACAGCTCGAGATGCGTTCCTCAGCAGCCCCATCCCGTTCATGATTTGTACACAGTCCCCGAGCCAGTGATAGGTGTCAGGCACACAGAGCTGGCTGTCCCACGCCTCCGAGTGGCAGGGCCCTGCCTGGGATCCATGCCAGGGATCTGTGCTGGAGATCCATGCCTGGGACCCATGCTGGGGATCGGTGCTGGGGTTCCATGCCTGGGATCCATGCCTGGGATCTGTGCTGGGGATCCATGCCTGGGATCCGTGCTGGAGATCCATGCTGGGGATCCATGCTGGGGATCCATGCTGGGGATCCATGCCTGGGATCCATGCTGGGGATCCATGCTGGGGATCCATGCTGGGGATCCATGCCTGGGTTCCATGCCTGGGATCCATGCCAGGGATCCATCCATGCCTGGGATCCATGCTGGGGATTCATGCTGGGTATCCATGCTGGGATCCATGCCTGGGATCCATGCTGGGTTCCATGCTTGGGATCCATGCTGGGATCCATGCCTGGGATCCACGCCGGGGATGCTGCTGCCCACAGATCATCCGGAAGGTGATGAAGCAGTATGCCATGCTGGACGTGGATGAGCCCATCTCCCAGCTCCACAAGTGTGCCTTCCAGCTCCAGGGCAGTGACCGCATGTACCTGTGTCTCTCCACAGACAAAGTGATCCAGTTCCAGGTATGGCAGTGCAGGGGCAGGTGAGGAGCCCAGGGTGCTTGCTGTCATCTCTGCAATCTCCTGTGTTGCATCAGGCTGGTGAGCGTGTCACTGGGAGGGGTCTTGCTTCCAAATTAAGGCCAGAATCATGGCAAAACTTCAATGGGGACGCTGGAACTGAGGTCTTTGGAAAGAAATCACAATCCCCATTTCCCCATGAGCACAGCAGTCACTTGCTGGAACCAAGACACTGAGGGCAGAAGCCAGGCATCCCAGCCCCATTCCATCTCCCCTGCGGCGTGTTTGGAGCTCTGACACTCTCCACAGGCATCTCCCTGCCCAAAGGAAGCCAACCGGGAGCTGCTGAACGACGGCTCGTGCTGGACCATCATCAGCACGGAGACGGTGGAGTACACCTTCAGTGAGAGCCTGGCGTGTGTCCGTGAGCCCGTCAGCCCTGTGCCACTCATTTCTGCCCTGCAGGTGGGCACAGCCACGGGCTGCCCTCTCTGTCACCTGCCTGCCCCTCTCTGTCACCTGCCTGCCTCGTGCCACCTGCTCCTGAGCCCTTGCGCCCTCGTGGCACCTCCCAGTTTTGGGATGCTGTGGGAATGAGATGCACAGGCAGAGCATCCTGTGGGACAAGGGGTCTGGCTTCATAACCCACACAACCCTGCCACGCTCTCTGCCTGTCACAGCTCACAGGTGGTGGGGATGTGGCCATGCTGGAGGTGCAGGGGGAGTATTTCCATGCACACCTCAAGGTCTGGTTCGGAGATGTGGAAGCAGAGACAATGTACAGGTAACATGGACAGGGGAGATGGGCAGGAGGCAGGGAACAGCAGCCAGGTGTGGGCTGTGCAGGGCAGATCTGGGAAGGATGTGGCTGTAGACCTTGGGGACAAGCACACTTGCACTGCCCATCCTGCAGGAGCAAGCATGAGCACTGCAAGCAAAGGCAGGAATGAGTCTGGTGCCTGCTCTCTGCCCTGGCTGCAGTCTGGGGATAGCCATGGGTGGGGGAGAACAGGGATTTCAGGGAACTGCAAACAACCAAGCAACCCTGGCAGAGAGGAATGACAAACTGGGAGGAGAGAGGGAACTGGCTGGAGGCTTCACACTGAGCTCCAGGATGGAGGAGAAGTGCAGTCACTCACTGCTGGCTGCTCCTGTTAGAACCTTCCCCAGTTAATGCATGTTTTCCTCTCTTGCACTGTTGCCAGGAGCCCCAAGTCCCTTGTGTGTGTCGTCCCTGACGTCTCTGCCTTTGGCAGTGACTGGAGGTGGCTGCGATATCCCATCACGGTCCCGCTCCTGCTGATCAGGGACGATGGCCTCATCTACTCCAGCTCATTCACATTTACCTACACCCCGGAGCAGAGCTGCATCCCAGGGCAGCAGGTCCTCTCAGATGTTCCCCAGGACTCGGACAAATTACTCGACAGCATCCACCAGGAGTTTACCAGGACCAACTTCCACCTCTTCATGCAGACCTAGCAGGCTGGGTGGGCACAGGAAGGGGAATAGCCCTGAGCCATGATGGGGGGCTCATCCAGGGCTTGGGGGGCCCTGCCAAAGGGTCCTCCCTGCTCATCGAACATGCACCATGCTCCTGTGGTTTACTGATTTCTCTCTTTTTCCTGGCAGCATCTGACACTGTTGAGATCTCACATAAGAGCATCAATAAATCAGGCTTGAAGGACTCTTCACTGATTCAATTGCCTTTTGACTGACTTTCATGATTTACCTGCATGCTGGCATAGAGCACCACAGCTCCCTCAGTGTCCTCAGTCCATATATTCAAAGTCCAGGAGGGACAGGGATAATGCCCAAATGCGACCTTAAGTGTTACTGATCCATACCAGGAGTCCCTGCATTGCTGCTGTGCTTTTCAGCTCAGCATGAGCTGCTTCCCAGCAGCCAAATACCCAGCACCAGATGTTTTGTTTTTTTATTGGAGGCCCAAATGGGGTTATTTAAGAAGGAAAAGGGAAAAAGAGAGAAAAAACTTCAGTGTGAAATCCAGCTCCTCCCTAGCTGGCTCTGCCAAGCTCTGTTGTTTTACACAATTTGACACACACAGAAATGCAGTGCTGGCATCAGCAGCAAACTGCTGATTTAGATGCCATAAAAAGAACCAGCTTTCTGGAGCTGGACATGAGCATTTTGCAGAGTGGGTGTTAAAGGCTTTATTTAGATTTCCGTGGCATCCAAAGGCCCATGGTGTACCTGGAAACCTTCTGGATTGGCAGTTCTCAGCTGGGATTTGAAACAACCCAGCAGCCAGACTACAGTGGCAGTCAACCCACCCTGGCCTCAGGGCAGTGGGCAGGAGAGCAGGGGAAGCACAGCCCCCCCGTGACCTGCAGCACCCCAGGATGCACACATGCATCCCTGGAGCAGCACCCGGATTGCCTCCGTGTTTTCTGTCATCTGGAATGTTTCAGATGCAGCACTGCCCTGCATGCAGCCCATCCTCAGCCTTGCTGTGTGCACCCCATGCCTCACTGTCGCTCCAGATGCTGAATTTGGGGCTGCAGAGGACTTACATCCTCACACCACCCAGCAGGGAGATGCTCAGGCATGCCTGGAGTCTTGGCCCTCTCCCTCTGCAGCTTGTACCTGTCCCTGGCTCCCATGGAAACACAAGAGCTTGGGTCCTCAGCATCCTAATCCAAGGGCTTCCCAGGGAACAGCACCTCCCTAAACTCCACCAGGAGATGGGGTTCCTTCTTCCCCTAAACAGGAACCTCACTGAGGGTAAAAAGCTGTAGGCAGGCACATCTCTGCATCTGGAGCTGCTGTGGAAAAGCTGGGAGAATGTTACAGCACATGCCAACAGGCCAGGGGTTGTTGGGGGAAAGGGTTGGGGGGGAGAAGAAGGGTGATCACACGGAGATCCACCAGGGATCCAAAAGCAAGTTCCTCCAGCAGCAGGCAAAGTCCTAATGCGCTCATTAGGAGTTGGGAGCAGTGGTACAAGACTCTACTGCTCCCATTTCTGGAAAATGCTCTAATATCTGGCACAGATGTGAGGGCAGTGGGGCCTTCCCCTGTGCTGCTGCTGCTGCCTGGGCCACCCCATCAGCCCACACTCACCATCCTCTGCACTCACCTCCCCAGCAAATCCACCCCAGCCCTAAAGGTGAGATGCAAGGAAATAATCCACCCAAACAGAGGATCCCCTATATTTCCCCCAAAAGCATTCCTCCCCCATCTCCTCAGTGCAGAGCTGGAGGGCTGTGAAAGGGTGGGGTGAAGCCTTTTGGCTGCTGCCTGCACCAGGAGTGACCGGAGCCCTCACTCCTCAACCCGCTCCCCGCCCTCAGAGGCCAGGGCATAATTCACATTTTATGAATGGAAAGCACCCTGGGTTATATTTAGCACCAACCCAGACCCAAAGGGCAAGAGCAGCACTGCTTCTTGACTTCAGGAGCTTGGAACAAGCCTGCCTTGTTATGTTTACAGCACTTTGCTGGATGGAGAGGCCAAGAAAGCACTGAGTGGCTCATTCTTGAAGGCTGATGGATTAAGCAAACAGCCGCAGTAATTCAAGCCACATGGGGAAAAGGGAGAGGTGGCAGCGGCGGGCTGGGGGGCTGCCGGGGCTCCTGCCTCCCCCACCGGCCACAGGCTGCCTTAATCTGCTTTTCACAGCAGGTCCCACGCTGGGAACGAGGAGCTTTGAGCTCCTGGAGGGGACACTTGCCTGCCACGAGGAACATATGCTCCACGTCGCGGCGGGGCTGGGAGCGTGGCAGAGCTGTTTATTTGCATAATCGCTGATTAACACAAATGTCTCGGACAGGCGCCAGCCAGCCAGTTGCATGTTCTCGCTCGGCAGTCAGCAGCGCCTGTCTCTGCCGGATCCCACAATAACCCAGCATGTGTCCGGGAAGGAAGCACGGCTCTGGCCAGCTGGGCTGCCCGCGGAGCCCGTCTGACAGCTCTGCGCTCCTGAGCTCTGCCCGCAGCTTCTCCCTGTCCCCCAGGCAGCCAGGAACATGGGTGGGTATAAAATCGAGCATGAAAAAAACCTTTACATGGCTCCGAGAGCTGGGGGTTTAGGAAAAGCATCGAATGCTTTAGGGATGCAGGGGGTAATTCATGTAAGATGTGGTGTGGCACGAGCATCTCCAGGTGATGGTGAGGCACGAAGGTGATGGGGATCCCCTGCTCCCACCATCCAGGGTGCAGCTGGGGCTGCCGGCAGCCCCACCACATCAAGCAGCCACTCCAGGATCCCAGAGGAGAGCATCACCTTTAAAAACATCAAAAAGAAAATGAAACCCTGGCTTTCCCACCGTGAGAGGAGCACTCAGCCCGTTTCGGGTGCCTCCCGCCCTGCCGGGCTGTGTCCCTGCGCTCTTTGGAAGAAGCTGCTGCCATCTAGTGAAGCCAGCCCAGTGATCACACGGACTGCCCGTCCTGCCCGTCCTGCCCGTCCTGCCCGTCCTGCCCGTCATGCCCGTCCTGCCCGTCATGCCCGGGCTCAGGCCAGCCCGGGGGACACACTGGCCACCCCCGGCCACCTCCGGGGCACATCTTCTGGCCGAATCAAATAGTTTGGGTGCTTTTTAAACAGCCACTGCACTGCATTTTTCCCCACATCACACAGCAGGTTTCCCACTGGGTTGGCTGAGTGTTTTTCAGACAGGGGAGGGCGATGTCCCTTCCCTGCTCACTCAGCCCACATCCAGCTGGTGACACCACTCTTGGCACTGAGGTGGCAGGTGGGCTGGCTGGCTTGTAGGGCAATTTGTAACAACACCTGCAGGAAGACCAGAAAAACTCTGTTAAAGCAGGGGTTTTTCAACCCCTGAGTGCAAGGGGTGGGCGAAGGGGGAGCTGGCCAGGGGGCTGTAAGAAGTGGGGCTGTTCTGTACCAGTGAGGTGTTTGCTGCAGCAAGGATAGCCCTGGGCAGATCCCTCTGCTGAGCTGTGACTTGGTCACCTCCCTGACAGGAGTGTGGCCATTGTCCCAGGTCCCTGCCCATCCCCTGTGGAGAAGCACAGAGGCTAGGCCAGCATCACCAGGGAATCTGTACCAGGATGAGCAGCTGCAGCCATTGAGAGCAGCCTGTCTCCCCTGCTCTGAGCCCTCTGCCTGGGGCTGTCCCTGCCCCACACCCCCAGGCCCAGGCTCCAGGAGGGTCAGGGGGCCCACAGCCCGCGCTGCTCAGTGTGAATGTCTGCATCCCTGGCCTGCAGGAGCAGGGGATGTGGGGATGCTGCTCTGCCCATCAGCCAGGGGAAAGGAGCAGGGAGAAACCTTTGCTTGAAAACTGCCCTCAAGGTGTTGATGTGCCCAGTGCACAAAAGGGACCCAGCCAGCCAGACTGAACCAGGGGGCCAGTTCCTGCATCACAAGCCATAAAATCTCTCTCCTACCAAGCCTGGTCCCAGCATTACCCACACACCCCAGTGGGGTCCCTGAGCACCCCACCAAGGGCAATCCTGGCCCCAGCACACAGATTTGCACAGTGCCCAGAAACCCTGTGCTGATTTTATCCTTTTTCTGACAGAGCTATAAATTACCCAGCTGGGCCTCAGGATGCAAAACTATGCTGGGGCCAAAATAAGCCAAGCTGGGTTGCTGAGGAATTACAATTACCTGCTCAAGAGGCTTCAAGCACATCGGGAACTGCTCAAGCGTGTGGCCCTGCTGGCCAGGCTCTGAAATAAACCCAAACAGCATCAAGGACAGAGTGAGCCCGAGGCACCCGTGGGTGCCCGTGTCACCAGCAGTGCCAGGAGTGGGTGTTATTAGCCCCGGGCCTGAGATGGGCAGTTCAGGGGAGGAGACTGCCACGCTTCTGTGCCCACAGCCCTGGGCACTCAGCCCTGCCCATGCAGCCAAAAAGCCGGTGGAAAATTAGGCTTCCTTTTTGTCAGTGGCTTTTTTTTTGTTTGTTTTGGTTTGGTTTGGTTTTTTTTTTTTCTTTTTCCCTAAAAGCCAGCTGAAAACAAGCTAATTCCCGCCAAGCTCCGGACTCCCTGCAACTCAGGGAAAGACCAAGCCCAGGGGCCAGCAGTGTCCCACAGGGCTGCATGCTGGGCCACTGCCCCAAGGCTGAAGCTGGGGTTCAGTGGCCTGATTAGGGGTGTAGGGTCAGTGCTGGGCTCCCTGTGGTCAGTTCCAGGCTGCAGCACTGCTGGGGGGTTTGGGGATCCAGTGACAGGAGCTGGATGGAGGGCAACCTCCTTTCATCCTGTTCTCAAAAGAAACACAGGGATCATTTACTCAGGATTCACTAGGGAAGGAAAGTAGCTTTTTAAACAGCTTAAATAAACAACTAGGCTTGAAAACACAGCCCTGATTCCCATGCACTGCTGCAGTAATTAGGGTGCAGACCAGGCAGGCAGTAACAGATCAGCACTGAGAAGGCAAGGACTGGACGCAGCTCCTTCCCTGTGAGGCCAGGGGGATTTGGCATCAGTGGAGCTGCCAATGGATGAGTTAAGCAGCACTCCTGGGTGCTCATGCACAGCCCCAAGGCTGTGGGGCTTGGCAGGAGCCTGGCATGGCTTTGCCCAGAGCACTGTGAGGAGCAGGCAGGACTGTGCAGTACCATGCATGGAGCACATTGGCACCCGGCTGCATGGTGCTGCTGCCTGCAAGAACCCCCGTGCCCCAAATCCTAAATCAAGCCTCCTGCCCTGGCTGGTTTGGGCTGGGACAGCTTAGAGGTGAAGCCCCAGCAG